TGTACCTGAACCATATGTCTTATTGATTGGTAATAAGGTAATCACTGGTGATTATCCAAAATTTAATGTAAGTTGTTCCCGTAAAATTTCTAACTATATTAGCTCTGTTACCAAAGATGATTCAGTTGTTATTCTAAAGAATCCTCCTCTTGTTATGACATTGGTAAAGTTAAATATTTGGTATGATAATAATGCTTGCAATTTTTAAAAAGAGTTATATAAGTTATCATTAAGAACCAAGAAAGCTGTAGGACCAGTCACTCCTTTTTGGGGCCCTTAATAGGCTTTCTTTTGCTTATTTCTTTTGGTCCCTGGGCAATTCAGAGGCTTATATGCTTTATCAAGCAGCAGGTCGAATCCATAGCCTCCCTCCCATACAAGTCCATTATCAAAGACTGCAAATGGCCGATAAAGAAAATCCTTGATGGTACAGGCTAACAAACCAAGCAGCCAGAGACGGGTAAGAGACACCAGCCCCTGTTTCAACCTAAGACAGGCGCCCCGCCGTAGCAGCCACGTGCCAGGGCAATGTAGCATTAAAAAAAAAACCCAAAACCAAGTCAAAGAAGACTACCTATAGAAATGTTTCAAGAGTGTCCGAATTTAAGCAAAATGAAAAAATAAATAGTATAAACATATGTGTGGGTTAAACATATTTATAGGGTTAATGAGCAAGTATCCAAGGCAAGACGTATAGTCCTAGGCCTGCATCAGAAACCCCAGAGCTCTGCACGCAGCCAGAATCTAGGTTTCACCTTTTGTCTCCCTAAGTGTTGGAAACTTCATTCTCCTGGAATTTCAACAGCTTCATTAACAAGCAGGCTTCCAAGGCAAGACATTCAGTCCCAGGCAATGATGTCAGTCTAGAGACTAAGGTACAAGTGATCCAGGGCATGGTCTTTGCAATTACTTGCTATGCATCAGAGAGCTGGACAATGACTAAGGATAGCAGAAAAACAAGTGATGCCTTTGAGTTATGGTGCTGGAAAAGAGTCTTGAACATACCATGGACCACCAAGAAAACAAGTCTTACTTGGTGAGAGTGAAACCAAGTTTCTCTTTGGAGGCTAGGATTTTGAAGCTTCGTCTCACATACTTTGGGCATGTGGCCAGGAGAGACTAGTCCTTGGAGAAGGACATCATGCTTGGAAGGGTGAACGGACAGTGCAGGAGAGGAAGACTTGGATGAAATGGATTGATATAGTAACTGTGTCAATGGGGTAGGTTTGTCAGAGTCAGTGAGACAGGCTTAGGAAAGGGCAGGCTTCAGACCTGTTGTATATAGAGTGACTATGAGTCACAAGGGAGCTCTAATGGCCTGGTAGCAAGAAGCTGCGCTGCAGTCCTGAAGGCAAGGGATTTGAGGCCACCCAACGCTCCACAGGAGAAGAACACACAATCTTCTCCTTGTGATTAACTGCTTCTGAAAACTTACCAGAGGGTTAGCTATGGGTTGGGTCCAACTCGATGGTACACAACAACATGAGTCCCAGGTGACTCAATGACACATAACATATATATCTATATCTCTCTATCTCTATCTATCTATCTATCTATCTATCTATCTATCTATCTATCTATCTATCTATGAAAAAACATATAAAGCTGAGGAAAAAGGTTTCCTCTGGAGGAACAAGATAGAATAGGAGCACCAGAGGTAAGTCATTGGCAATCCTCTAGTTAGTGATTCTCCAACATGCATCAGAATACAGTGCAGGGTAGGTTGCTAAAACCTGTAAGTGTTGAACATTCCCTTTAGAGCTTTTTATTTAGTATATCTGGTAGAAAGCCCAAAATATTTGTAATTTCAACATGGTCACAATCACTTGTTCTTAGGTTGTTGGTTCATAGGTGTTGATGTTATTATTAAACAAACATACTCATTAAATTGATTTTATTAAAAAAGTCAAGCATAGGTGAAAGATCAAAGAGGAACCAAAAATTGATATTATTCTACTACTGACCTCCTCTCCTGATGAAGGTTAGGTTCTTAACTAAAAGCAATTGTTTATGCGTGTGATTTAAACAAGAGTTTGCAAAATCGACAACCAGTCATAGATGTTTTGTTTTAGAGCAAGATTGAAACTGTCAACAACTTAATCTTACTTGTATCCACAATCAACACCTTTGGTACCAGCAGTCAGGAAATCAGGAAACTTATTGCACTGAGAAAGTAAGCAGTTGGGGACATCTCCAGAATACTGAGGAGTAATGATGTTAGTTTGAGTACCAAGATGTGTTTGATTCAGGCCAGGGTCTACAATCACTTTCTGTACATCGGTGAGCTGGGCCTTAATAAGGATGACAGAAGAAGAACTGATGCCTTTGAGGTGTTGGAGAAGAGCACTGAACATGCAATGGACTGCCAAAAGAACAAATTAGATGTGTCTTGGAGAGGGTGCAGCCAGAGTGCTCTTTTGAGGCAAAGGTGATGAGGGTGTGCTTCACATACTTTAGGCATGTTGCTAGGAGGAACTATTCCTTGGAGAGGGACAGGATGCTGGGAAAGGTAGAGGGTCGGCGAAGGAGAGGAAGACCCTCAACCAGGTAGACTGACACAGTGACTGCTGCAAAGGGGTCTAATGTGTCAGAGTGAGTATGGCACAGGATAGGACAGGGTTCAGATTTGTTGTTCATAAGGTCGCTATGGTCATATTCTACTTGAAGGCACCTAACTACAACAACGACTCAGTAGATCACAAATTTTTTTTTTTAAAAAAACACTCCAAAACTGAGTATCATTAGTGATCTTATTTTTACAGTCCTTCCTTTCCCTATGTGCTATACGTAATTTTGTCCTTTCTCTCATCCTTCCTTCCAGATTTGAGTATCCACATACTGTGAAATAAAATGGAAACATTTCTTTCTCTTAGGTTGGTCTATAGGGAGCTCCGGTGATGTAGTTTGTAGCAAGTTGTGCCGATCTCCGAGAAAGGTACAAGCCACCAGTGCCTACGAAGTCTCCTTCCTTGGCCTAAGGAAGGGATGGACTGTCGAGAGGATCGCTTTGAGTTGGAACTGACACTCCTGGCAGTTGAACGAGCGATTGAGATCTTGGTCTTTCTACTCCACCTCCTAATTGCTGAGGGTATACTGTGCCCTGCACTGTACCAATGAGTAGGGCAATTTGCAAAATGCCTGAATATAACATTCTTGTCCTCAAGCAGCTCATTCTAGTAAAGCAAAGAGCAAAAACCAAACCCACTGCCAGACGCATAATTACTTATAACCCAAAGCAGAAAATAAAAGATGTTATTGTTGTTATGTGCCGTCGAGTCGCCTGCAACTCATAGTGATATCTACAGGAGCCCTGAACCCTGCTCTGTTCTGGGACAATCTCACTCTCTCCTACACACCCACCACGCTTGCCCCAGTCACAGAATCAATCCACCTCATAGAAGGTCTTCCTCTCTTGAGCTGTCCCTCCAGCCTCCCAAGCATGACGTCCTTCTCCAAAGAAAAGATGTTATAGAAGATTTAAAATGAATCTTCTTTCATCACTCCCCTCCCCTCTACTCCAGTTCTTCTAAGCTATTTATCTCGGGGGTTGACAGGTGTCACTTTAAGACTATCGCTTCCGTGTTTTGAGAGAAGGCCAGTAAAGCCCAACCCCGCCAGCTCCGCCCCGTCTCATTGGCTTTCCTGCCGGAAGCTGCGGTGCAACTCAGCTGCGCACGCGCGGAGCACACATGCTGCGGAGCACCGCCCCTAGGCTCGCAGCCGGTGTGGGCCGACCCGAATCATGGTGCTGGTTTCTGTCCTCGGGTTGCTAGGACGCTTTCAAGGCAGTAGAGTTTCGCGACTGCCAAACTGCAGGCGCCTCTACGGTTCGAGCCCTGTCGGTGCTCGCGATGAGGTCCACAATGGGCGTGCTTGCTTCACGACACCCATTTTCTACGTGAACGCGGCGCCGCACATCGGGCACCTGTACTCGGCGCTGCTGGCGGACGCCCTGTGCCGCTACCGCCGGCTCTGGGTGCCCGGAGCCGCCGCCACGCGCTTCTCCACCGGCACCGACGAGCACGGCCTGAAGATCCAGCAGGCGGCCGCCGCCGCGCGCCTGGCCCCGGCTGAGCTGTGTGACCGGGTGTCTGCCCAGTTCCAGCAGCTTTTCCGCGCGGCCGGCGTCGCCTCCACCGACTTCATCCGCACTACCGAGCCGCGGCACCGGCTGGCCGTGGAGCACTTCTGGGAGGTACTCAAGACCCGGGGTCTGCTCCACAAAGGGCTCTATGAAGGGTGGTACTGCGCATCGGACGAGTGCTTTCTGCCGGAGGCCAAAGTTACCCTCCAGCAGGGCACGTCGGGGGATGCGCACCCCGTGTCGCTGGAGAGCGGGCATCCTGTGTCCTGGACCCAGGAGGAGAACTACATTTTCAGGCTTTCCCAGTTCCGGGAGCCGTTGCAGCGGTGGCTGCGAGACGACCCCCAGGCCATCACCCCTGAGCCATTCCACCGCACGGTCCTTCAGTGGCTGGACGAGGAGCTGCCCGACCTGTCCGTCTCCCGCAGGAGCAGCCAGCTACACTGGGGCATTCCCGTGCCTGGGGACGACTCGCAGACCGTCTATGTTTGGCTTGATGCCTTGGTCAACTACCTCACTGTCCTCGGCTACCCAGATGCTGAGTTCAGATCTTGGTGGCCAACCACATCTCATGTAATAGGCAAAGACATTCTCAAGTTCCATGCCATCTATTGGCCGGCCCTCCTCCTAGGGGCTGGTTTGAGCCCGCCACGTCGTATCTACGTCCATTCTCACTGGACGGTCAGTGGCCAGAAGATGTCCAAAAGCTTGGGCAATGTGGTGGACCCCAGTTCTTGCCTTGATCGCTACACCGTGGATGGCTTCCGCTACTTCCTACTTCGACAGGGTGTTCCCAATTGGGACTGTGACTACTATGATGAGAAGGTGGTTAAGCTGTTGGATTCTGAGCTGGCAGATGCCTTGGGAGGTCTCTTGAACCGATGCACCGCCAAGAGACTCAATCCTGCGGGGACTTACCCCGCCTTCTGCACTGCCTGCTTCCCCAGCAAGCCAGGGCTGGGAGCGCCGTCTGGTCGGGTGCAGGCTGAGGACTACGCTCTGGTCAAGGCAGTGAGCTCCTTGCCCAAGCAGGTAGCACACCACTATGATAATTTTCAGATCTACAAAGCTTTGGAAGCGGTGTCCATTTGTGTTCGACAGACTAATGGCTTTGTTCAGAGACATGCACCATGGAAGCTGAACTGGGAAAGCCCAGTCGACGCCCCTTGGTTGGGGACCGTGCTTCATGTGGCCTTGGAATGTCTGCGGATCTTTGGAACTTTGCTCCAGCCAGTCACCCCAACTCTGGCTGACAAACTGCTCTCCAGGCTGGCGGTCTCTGCCACAGAGAGAGGCCTTAGAGAGCTCTGTTTCTTGCCTCGATTCTTTGGACAGCCTTGCCCTTTTGAAGGGAGGCAGTTGGGACCTGACACTGGCCTCTTGTTTCCAAGACTGGACCAGTCCAGGACTTGGCTGGTGAAAGCCAGCAGGACCTAGAAACTGTTCTTACAGGCTTGTGGTAAACAAAGTAAATGTGTATATATTTTGCAATTTCAGGAAATTTATTAGTGTTTTCTTTAAGTGTTGCCATTGAGTGGACACAAGCTCTGTTCCTGTGAAAAGAGGTTTGTAGCCTTCCAGGTGCTTATCCCAGATCTGTACTCTGTGCCCATACCAAACGGTGTCTCCGTGTCTTCATGGGGAAGATGGATTACAGACAATGTAGCTAAACACTGTTCCTTCTCATTGTGCCCCTTCCGAAATACATTACTTGCCCAGACTACCTCTCATGGCTTGTTTTCCAATGGCCTAGCCTCTGCTGCTTGAGCAAATTAGTGCAGTGATTTATCTGGGATTGCCACTTTCTTACCATAAATTTTTCCAGAATAGCCCTATTGTTCTCCTGTTAAAGAGGCTCATCTGTTAAACCCGGTGTCCTTGAGAGGTTTTCTGTTCATGATCATTCATCCCAAGTTTTAATTCCTACAATCATGACTCCACTTGTAACATTACACTCCAACCAGTAGATGGCTCTCATCTGACATATTTAAACTCAACATTTAGGGTTCAGAAAATTAAGCATAAAATGCTCTTTATTTTCTTTCAAATTTTGCAGATCTTTAAATTTTTGCTTTTCTTGAAATAAGAGATGATTTGCTTGCAACCACTGCTGCTTTAACAAAATAATTAATTTTCTTCAGATTACTAAAAAATGACATTTACAAAATGTTTATAATTAGGGGAGCT